CCACATACTGCCGCGACGTGGCGACCGCGCGTTAGTCTTTCTCGTAAGTAAAAATCGTCCTGTAATAGTATAAAAGGCGAGCCGATATGAAACTTTTCACGTCTCCGCCCTAGGAGAAAACTTACTATTTTGATCGCTGCCCTGATTTTATATTAGGAATTGCCTGATAAAGACCTTATTATATCCCGATTAAATTATCATTATATTATAATATAATGATAATTTTTTTATAAGATGTCTGACCCAAAACATATCAGGCATGTAACGTAATTCCCTACAAGGAACTTAAAAGGCAGCCTGATAAGGACCTGACTTTTCAACCCTATCAGGTTTTTAACGGGAAATTGCGTTACACTTCCTAATATGGCCCCTATCAGGGTTCCCTAACAGGACCTGACTTTGCATTAGGGATAACCTGTCAAGGACCTTATTACAAAACTGATTCAATTTCCGCTCGGGTAGGATCATCCCTAGGTGTAGAATGGGCATGAGAGATGCCAGGGCCACAGATTAATAGACAGATCGCCAAAGGCCAGGGTGAAAACGAGACCACGTACTACACACTTTGCCCCTTACCGACAGCGTTGCCCCTAGGAGCGAGTCTGTACTAAATATATCCGATTTTATCGACAAATTTGGCCTTTTGGTGCGAGTCCAGACTAAATTTAGGCAATTCTGTCGATAAAAGCGGATATATTTAGTCGGGACTCGCACCAAAAGGCCAAATTTGTCGATAAAATTGGATATATTTAGTACAGACTCGCTCCTAGGGACAACGCTGTCGGTAAAGAGGCAAAGTGTGTTATAGTGGTCTCGTCTTCACCCGGCGGGCCTTTGGCGATCTGTCTATTTAATCTGTGCCAGTAGGGCCCCGTTTTTCGTGATTGGCGAATGCGATACGCCCTCTATGGACATTGAAAACGTGGACATTGAACTACGTAGCCAATGTCCACATTTTGACAAGTGGGTAACGCAGATTTGCGAAATTTTGGTTGCGTTTCGTGCTATAGTCAGGTCCTGTGCGTTGCTCTTGTACTTAAGATTATTTTAAGTTATACAAGATCATTGCATGGGATCTAACCATAGCGCGGGACGGGGCTAAAATTGTGCGAATCTGCGTTACCCACTTAGCAAAATGTGGACATTGGCTACGTAGTTCAATGTCCACGTTTTCAATGTCCACAGAGGGCGTATCGCATTCGCCAATCACGAAAAACGAGGGCCGTGACATCTCTCAGGCTTCTCTCTGGTATAAGACAGAGGGCGCGAAACTTGAACATGAGTTGCTCGAAACCCTTGAAACCACGGTCTTAGGCCCGGTTTCACCAACGCGAGTTAATCTAATCGGTCAGTTAACTTAACAGGGTGCCAACATAAAACTTCTTTATTAACCCATTTTCTTGGTATCAGTTTTATGTTCGGCTGTTGGCACCCTGTTAAGTTAACCGACCCGATTAGATTAACTCGCGTTGGTGAAACCGGGCCTTAGGCCGTGGGAGCGTAGTACCCGTGCTGTCCGTGTTTTTTAGGACTAAGGATCGCCGTTGTGTGTCGTTACTATCGAGGAAAGAGAGTAGTGCCAACTTTAAATAATTTATCTGTTGCGTTTTATTTCATACAATATGCTGTTTAAATACGTTTCCGTATTTTTTATTTTTGACGGAAAGTTAAAGCTTAATCGATTCTATGACGACAAGATGTGTAGTACCACGATACCAGATAGACTTAA